CAAATTTATTCTGTAATGTTCAAATAAATAATACATGTAAAATAGGCCTGACCTATATATTGTTGCACATGCCCAAAAACCACCATCCAAGACAAAGAACGTAGACAGATTGACCATGTTTCTTAAGCTATTCATCAATTAAGTGTATCAGACTGTTTGAAAATAAGTAAGAATATTTACATTCATAGTGGTCCTGTGGATAATATTTGCTCCAAGGGTGTGATTATTTTCTTTTGTATCGAATAAGGGTAACGAATTTCCATATATCTTTTGTTGTTTTATTATTGCCAGGAATTTGGACGTAGTAATTTTTATGCCCCCGCTGTAGCCAGTCAAGGGTGTAACTTAAATAAGTTATTAGAGAAAAATAACATACATGTGTTATTACAGATACTTTCATGAGTTGTCTACTCTTTTTTGCGTGAACCCCCTGAGGGGTTCACGCTTATATATTGGCGAGTTTTGGATGTGTCTATGGGCCACTCGATATCTCTCGGCCGGAAGTGGGAATAAAAAAATCGTGTGAATATTAGAACATATTTGCCTTTTCACAAAACATATGTGTTTTCATAATTAATGTGAATGTTTATTTTAAATATCAAGTATAATGATAACGCAATTACCCTCTACTCGTATGTGTAGTATTAATAAACCTGGGAATAGTTTATTGACATACAATGACCCAGAATAAACTGATTATTCTGAACGTTTAACATTTGAGATTAAGTATTTCAATCATAGCATGAGAAAATGTCGGAAAGCATGAAGAAAATTAGGAAAACGATATTTCCGTAAAAATTATTTATCTAAGGTCGGATACACAGTGGTCCGAGAGCAGAAAGATAAACAAACAAAAGGTTTTTTCTGTTAAAAAAAATATCTTATTTTATTAATAGATATAATATAGATAAATTTTTTTTTTTTTTTCATTAAAGTGTCACATATTGATCTTACACAACAGTAAAATATTTACAAGTACAATCACATAAAAAAAAGATCAACACCCAGACTCTTAAGACTTATGAGACACTATTATATACATATAAAACAGCTCAAACACACAAGGTAAAAAAAAAAAAGAAAATAATAAGAAATCTCATGTATTTATCTTGCAAACTTAATAAATTAAATGGAATAATATAAGTTAAAATTAAGAGAAATTTAAGACTGTTAAATACATCTAGGTTAAAAATTGCGTCATACGACTAAACCAAAATTATGGGTAAAGCTGCGATAAGAGTAAAACATTACTATATATTCTAATATAAAATTAATAAAAGTGAAAGAAAAAAAGAGAAAGAAAATATAATCAAAAATTAATTCATACCACTTTCACCAATTTTCTTAAAAATATATATTAAAAATAATAACAGGCTTTATGAACAATTATTTGTTATAAAAATCTTTTCCTCCTGACATAGAATTTGTGAATAGAGTAGGAAAGTGTTACTTGAATGTCATTACAAGTCATTAAAGCACTAAACTTTAACTCTATACTCATGTTTTCAAAATTTTCAATAATTTGACGTGCATTTTGAAACAAATCATATCTAATGTCTTCATACAGAGGGCAAACCATTAAAAAGTGAGTTTCGTGTTCAACATCATTCAATTTACAAAATTTACATAGTCTACTATTCAGCAGAATCTGCGGTCTGGAGTATCTTCCTGTCTCTACAGCTAGGGGTAGCGATCCACTGCGAAATAATGCCATAGTTCGAGTTACGTTTCTTGGTAAAAGTGAAAGAATATACTGTTCTGTTTTAACACTTTTCTTGATAATACGGTAAGTCCTTAGCTTGTTTCTGTTAGCATTGTTTCTGTTGTCATGTAAATATTTCGCGAAATCAGCCTGGTCAAAGTTCCTAAGTTTTTCACTTATGAGGCGCATTGCCTTTTTAACACTGAGAGTGGTGTTATGAACAATATCAGCAACATCTATATCGTTTGCAAGTTTGTCTATTTGATGATGCCACCCTTTTCGTCGCCGCGAAGCCCACGCTGCAACTTTTGATATAAGTCTATCATCGTTAACTCGTATGATCTTACATTTTAGATGTAGGCATGATAGTTTTTGCTTCGTATAACACGATGTAAGTCCAAGATCTCCGCGCACCGCTGTGTTGGAGGTATGCTTCCCAACTGCAAGAAAGTATTTTGCAGCTTTGTTCTGTACATTGTTAATTACTCTGTGGGATTTGTATCCCCAAACGGCACTACCATAGAATAAAACTGGTTCTACCATCGACGTGTAAAGTTTTTGGTAAACGTTCCAGGTCATACCACCTGTCGCTATGAATTTACCAAAAAGGGCTCCCAAAGCTCTACTTGCTGATTTAGAAAGTTCTGTAACTGCCTTTTCTAGGGTTAAGAACTCATCGAACCATAGTCCCAAATATTTGTATGAGTCAATATATTCTAAATTGTGAGTTCCACATTCAAAATCAAAGTCTGACCGAGCTATCGAAGGATTTCTAAAATGCACTACTTTGGTTTTCGACCGATTGACTTCAAGTTTCCAGTCATCACACCAAGATGCATCCTCATTTAGCATTCTCTGTAGTTTATTTTCGTCCGGTGCAATAACAGCTATGTCGTCGGCATACAGTAGTATGCTTAATGCAATATCGTCAATCTTAATACCACAGTTTAAGTTGTTTACTCGTTCGGCCAGGTCATTTATGTACACCGCGAAAAGACTAGGTGACATCAAACATCCTTGTTTAACCCCCGAATCGACGTTGAACCATGGTGTAAGATGGTCGTTAACTTTAACGGAGCATTTAACATCATCGTACAGAGATTGTATTGCAGTAAGGAACTTTCCACGTATTCCAGCTTTAAACATTTTATACCAAAGAAGATTTCTAGGGACGGAGTCGAACGCCTTTCGCATATCTATGAAACACACAAAAGTTGAAAGTTTCGATATCTTTCTGTCATTGATGACAGTATGTAGCGTATGTATATGCTCTTCGCAACTTCTCTTCTCACGAAAACCGTTCTGTTCGTCGCATAGAGTTTTATTAGCTTCCATCCACTCATTCAATCATAAATTTAAAACATGACAGTATATTTTGCTAGGAACAGACACTAAAGTAATACCACAATAGTTCATAGGATTCTTCCTATCGTAGGATCCTGTCTTAAAGATCGGATTAATAATCCCTGTTGTCCACTGTTCCGGTACTTTCCCCAACTCAAAACATCCATTACATATAACAAATAAAGGTTCAACTGCTGTCGGGTTTTTCAAAACTTCGAAACCGGTAGCTTTACGCACTTTAGCACTTTCGACTGCTTTAATAATTTCTTCTCGCGATATAGGATCGTTCAATGTCGTCACATCATACTGAATGTCATTTCCGTTATCATCTATCGACGGCTGTGCATGGTAATTTTTGTTAAAAAGCTCTTCAAAGTCAGATTTCCAACGTTTTAATACAAAATCTTTATCTGTTCTGATATTTCCTTCATTATCTATCAGGGACCATGGAATACTTTCATTTCTCTCATTTGCTATTCCCAATTTTCCTATAGACTTCCAAAAGTCTTTTTGGTTCGTTAAATATAGTTTTTCTTGTAGCTTTTCTTTTTCCCTATACACGTATTTCCGTTTATATTTTCTATTCAACCTATCAAAACCCTTATGATCAAAATAGTACTTTTCCTTCAAGGTTTTCTTTTGAGCATTTGATCCTTCTGACTTTAGCCAATCTTTTTCACTTTTGCAAACGTTGGTCCACTGATCTTGGAGAACTTGATTCCAATACGGTTTGTACATAGATTTTGTGTGTTTGTTTCGATTGGTGGTGTTGTTAATGACCAGTAGTTTGTCTTTCATTTCGTCTTTCACTACAGCACAGAAATTATCGTATGCCGACTGAACGCAATTATCTACATTTATAGAATTTTCAATACGATTTATTGCTCCGTATATTAAATCGAGTCGTTCTTGATCACTCAGAAAACTGTCTGGAATATTGCTTACATTGTATTTTCGCTTTGCACTTCCAATATTTCTATCAAATGTATCACATGTTATGCTGCATGCTGAACCATCGGGTATTCTAATTTCACCGGTTAAAAGCCAATGATCTGGTATACTAACTGGATAGTGATTCACAGTATTGATTATATCTGACATTTTTACAACATTAAAATCTAAAATATTCCCAATTTGTTCATAAGGAACACAAACGTAGTCCACTACCGATGCTCCTTGTGGTGAGATATACGTAAATTCGTTACATCCGATTCTTCCATTTAGCATGGCAAAATTTATATCCGACAAGAATTCTACGAACAGATCCCCATTATAGTTTTCAGATTGATCAATAACATTCCTTGGAATGATATCATCTACACCTTCAATATAAATGTTGTTGCGGCCACATCGGGAATTAAAATCACCACAAATAACGGTTAAGCCTTTTTGGTTACAATACACCTGTTGAAGCAGATTATCGAAAAATAATTCCTGATCGTTAGGTCTGCTTGACTCCCTTGGCGGTAAATAACAAACGGCAAAGCATATAGAAAAGTTTGATGTTTTACTTTTAAGTTGTATCCATAAAATTCCTTCGACACTTTTATCCAGAATCAGAATTTCAAAATCATTATATATTTCACTTTTGATGAAGAAGCCAACTCCGCCTGAGCCGCTTACGGCTCTTTTATGTAAATTTCCCCGATTATTTCCGATCCATATATATCCATCTACATTCGGAACTTCATTTCCACGAAAAAACGTTTCACAAATGGCAAATATATCGCAATTGGTATTCTGAAGTACACGTTTTCTAAACTGCGAGTTGTTTATACCATCATAAAATAATTTTAAAAATGTCTATAGACATGATAGAGGCAAACAGTAAGGTAGAAATAAGAATAATACAATATTTATGTGCTCAAATGCAAAATGAGTTTGTTGCAGTGTATCTACATGTAAGTGATTTCTAGCTGACAAGTACTAACAAATGATAAATTGATACTTATAGGCTGGTCCGTTGCAAAAAGTGAAGTTGGCTACAGACAAAGATGGCAGGTCAAAAAGATATGCATTCATTACATTTAAACATGCATGTTCAGTACCATATACGATAGATTTGATGTCTGGTATACAGTTGTTTGGCAGCAGTCTCAAACTTCAAACTAGAACAGGTATGAAAAAATGCCAGGAAATTGTTCATTTATATTTTTCTCCTTCATTTTTCCTTAAAGTGAAATTCTTGAAATTATAAAATTACAATCACTTTTCTCCAACAGACAGCATTTTTTTTTTCTTAACAATTGAAATGCCATTATAGACTAAAATTATAATTTTCTCATTTTTGTTGATCTTGTATTGCTGTCAAATATTTTTTGGAAGCCCTGATTGCTGATAAATTTTTTCTGTTTACAACCAAAAACACAAAATGTGTGTAAAAATAGGCATTTAAGGGCAAAAACATCCATAAGAATTGGACTGACAACTTAAGCTATAATGACCTATTTCTTGATCTTGTCTTGTTGGTCATTTAACTTTTTACAGTTTTTCTTTGTTACTAAGTACTGTTAATTCAAAATTGATGTGGGCATTTATTATTGGGATTTGTGAAGAATGTACAAACTGCGAGATTAATTATTGTGATTTCAGGAAAACATGCATACAGAAACATGTATATGTATCGAATTCAGATGATCCATACACACTCCTACATTGTATGCTTTTTATGAATGAGTTACTCGAGGTCTATCCGTGTAAATGATGTCATTGAACAATCAACTCTAACTGTGATGTAAGAACATAAGCATTGTACGGGAAAATGCACAAATGTGAAAGTCTTCAAAAAACATGGAAACATAAACAAGCGAAATACGAATTTGTTGAAAGCCCACTTTCTTAAATTTTCATTATCGTTTAACTTCATCCTAACCTAAGTATGTTATTGTGAATAGTTTAAGCATGTCACTTATGCAGTTTTCTTTGTCCTTTACGTCAATATTAAAAGGGTGTTCAATTACGGGAACAGCAAATAATTGCCTTTACCTAGAACCCTCAAATTGCAAAACATAATCTCTCATTTTTGTCCATTCTTACAAAAATTGCAATGATAAATGCATGCAATAATTTCTAAATTTTCAGTAATCAATGAGTACATTTTTTCAACTAGTACATTTATCATACAACATCTCCTTATTTTTATATTTAGTATAGAAGGAGGATAGAAAAGGCAAATCATAACTATACAATTGTTAATCGATAAACTAAAGTAATTATTATTTCTATAATAATTGTTAACTTCAGTCTTCAGAGTTGTAGAAACAATAAATACGCAGGAACAATGTAGGTCTTGGTCCAGTGACTTACAATTAATTACCAATTTTCAATGTTAAAATTTTCTGCCTAAGCTATTTTGATAGGAACTACTAATGATAGACAATGATATTTTCAATAAATATTATTATCAGTACATCTCAGTTTGACGATCATTTTGGCGCTCTGCCCTTTATGTCATGGTCCAGCAACTTTGCATTAATTAGCAATGTTGCTGTCCATCAGATTGTCTTTTACTGAATTTTCTGATAACAGGCGAGACATCTTTATATGTCAACAGTTTATATTTAAACTACATAAATCCTATATTTTCTGTATTGGCATAGACTTATCTCTCATTAGGTTATTTAAAGCAATAGAAAGTTTGGGCTTCAAAAGTCAACAAAATTATTGACTTTACCTTATACAGCAAATTTGTCTTATTAAAGAGTTAATTTATAAACAAATAATTCACAGACAACTAGCAAAATCATACAACAGTTTTTTTTTTTAAATCATTTCTTGTTATCAGGACCAAACAATGATCACCCAAACTGTTTACTAGAATTATAAAAACTTATTGTCTGTATTGACACGGTTTTCCAACCTCTCATTAGCATGATTAGCATATTTATAGTAATAGAAAGTTTTTGGCTTCAAAAGTAAACAAAATTGTTGACTTTCTACAGCAAACTTGCCTTACCAATATATATATATATATCCCAGGAAATCCTGATCCTAAAAGCATCGGACCAAATGGGACTTTTCAGGTCTAGTTAACCTGGAATATCCCAGGATTGTCCCTAGAAGTCCTAGGGTTTTAGGACTTTTCAGGACTAGTAAACCTGAAATATCCCAGGATTGTCCTGAGAAGTCCCAGAATTTAAAAACTTTTCAGGACTTTTTAACCTGGAATATCCCAATATTGTCCTGAGAACTCCTAAGACATTTCAAGACATTTTCCTAGGAATTCCTGGGATATTTAAAAACATACCAAAAAGTCCTGGAAAAAAACACAAACTCTTATCCTTTATAAAATCTATGAAAACACAATATTCATTCTTCCGATTTTTATACGACCGCAAAAAAATTTTGAGGTCGTATATTGGTATGACGTTGGCGTCGTCGTCGTCGTCGTCCGAATACACAATGGTTTTCGCACTCTAACTTTAGTTTAAGTGAATGGATCTCTATGAAATTTTACCATAAGGTTCAATACCACAATAGGAAGGTGGGGATTGATTTTAGGGGTTATGGTACCAACAGTTAAGGAATTAGGGGCCAAAAAGGGGCCGAAAATAAGCATTTTTGTAACTTCCAGACATAACTTGTGTGTTAGCATATGGATCTCTTTGACATTGTACCACAAGATTCCATATCACAAAGGGTCAATGCTGGGATTGATTTTGGGGTTAATTGCCTCAAAATTTTAGGAATAAGGGGCCAAAAGGGGGCAAAAAACAAGCATTTTTATAGTTTCATGACAATAACTTGTGTGTAAGTGTATGGATCTTTCTGAAATTTTACTACAAGGTTCCATTTCACAAAGGGAAAGCTGGAATTGATTGTTGTGGTAATTGCCCAAAACGTTTAGTAATAAGGGGCCTAAAAAGGGGTTTTAAATAAGCATTTTTTAGTTTCTAGACAATAACTTGTGTTCAAGTGTATGGATCTCTCTAAAATTGTATTACAAGGTACCATACCACAAAGGCAAGGCTGTTATTGAGCTTGGTTTGGGGGGAAAGGGGGGTGGGGGTGATGAATCATAAGGGGGGCGGGGGTCAAAAAAGGGGTAATTTTTTTTTTTCATTTTTTTTTTGTTTAAAATTTACATTTTAAGTTAGTTATTTTTTATCACGAAGAGAAAGTAGGAATTGAGTTTTGGGGTTAATTGCTCAAACATTTATGAATAAGGGGCCAAATATTGGTCGAAAATAAGGATTTTTTTAGTTTGCAACAAAAACTTGTGTTCAAGTGTATGGATCTCTGTGAAATTGTATTGCAATGTACCATACCACAAATTGAAGGTTGTGATTGAGGTGGGAGATGATGAATCAAAAGGGGGTTGAAAAAATGTGTGGGGGTAGGATTTTTTTTTTCCTTTTTTTTTCTTTAAAATTTTCCATTTAAAGATGGTTGTTTCAGATTTATATATGAAAGAAAATAATAATGATACGGTTATATATCATGAGGAACTGAAATTTAAAATTATATATATTGTAAATTTAGGTTACATTGGAAAGTAATAATTGGCTTTGGGGGGGGGGGGGGGGGGGGGTGGTGGTGGTTATGGCTCTAATGTTTAAGGAATAAGGGGAAAAAAGGTTAAAAAACAAGGGTTTCCATTTTAATAGACAAATAATTGAGTAAAGAACATTATTTAAAAGCAGTGTAAGGTTGGTAATTCAAACTCATTTAAATATCTCATCTACATTGCTTTTAAATTATGTAAATTGGAAATTTGCCAATAACTTTATTGTTAATAAATGCATTGGAAATTTGCCAACAATTTTAGTGTAATAAACTTCATTGGAAATTTGCCAATATAAAATTTTGCTGATGAAGGTTTTTTGTTTACCTTTAGCCTTGACTATGAAGTCATTTTCTATTTTTATAGCCTTATGATGTAGTTGAATTATTTAATACTTTTATGATGTGTTTAAATGGGGTTTTATCATGTTTATGGTTATAAATTTATTGTTTTAGTATAATAAACTCCATTTAAAATTTGCCAATAAAAAAAAATTTTGTTTATTTTTAGCTATGATTATGATGTCATTTTCTATTTTACTTTTATGGTTGCAAAGAAATTTTTATTTTTAGATATTACTGTTAAATGATGCTGATTAAGGTTTTTGCTATGTTTAGCCATGACTATGATGTCATTTTCTATTTTAATATCTGTTATGATGTATTTAAATGGGCTTTTATGGTTACAAAGGAATTTTATTTTTAGATATTACTATAAAATGTTGCTGATGCTGATTAAGGATTTTGTTTATTTTTAGCCATGACTATGATGTCATTTTCTATTTTAATACCTTTATGATGTAATTTCCATTTTTAGATATTACTGTTAAATGATGCTGATTAAGGGTTTTTTGCTATGTTTAGCCATGACTATGATGTCATTTTCTATTTTAATATCTTTATGATGTATTTAAATGGGCTTTTATGGTTACAAAGGAATTTTATTTTTAGATATTACTTTAAATGTTGCTGATTAAGGATTTTTGTTTATTTTTAGCCATGACTATGATGTCACTTTCTATTTTAATACCTTTATGATGTATTTAAATGGGCTCCCATGTATTTAGATTTTTGATTATTTATACATGTTACCAAATTGGTCCACATTGAACAAAAACGGTCCAAATTCCAACTTTATTACATTACATCAAACATTGAATTCTACATATTCTTTGATATATTGAAATTAACAAACAATTTAGTTTATGGATATTCCACCATAATAGGTAAATTAAATTTTTTCCAGTTCTTACACCACATTCATCCTGTGTCAGAAACCTATGCTGTGTCAAATATTTAATGACAATCCAAAGTCATAGCAGTATCAAGCTTGAATTTTGTGTCCATACTTGCCCCAACTGTTCAGGGTTCGACCTCTGCGGTCGTATCAAGCTGCGCCCCAGCGAAGCATTTTATTTTTTTTACACTGGACATTTGATGGCAAATTTATTTTCTATAGTACAGTCACTGTTTTTTTTTTATTGTTATCATCTTCAGTTCTCTCTGATTTGCCCGAAAGCCCTCTTGACTAGTTAAAGCTAGTCACAGATCTTGGTCCTCACTATAGATTTGCAAAATATCAGAGCTGCTGAATGTTTTTAACAGTAAATCTGAAACAAAAAAGTTCTGGATCTAAAGTATGATAAAAATAATATAAAATACCATATCTCATGCATTAGTATGTCAGATTATTTAAGTCAACATGCTTCTTTCTTTATTTGAATAAATACATACATGTATATATTTTGTGTATAAATGTACCCCGACATTCATATATCATAGACTTTAAAATATCTTCTGACAATTTATTTTAAGCAATTTTTTCTACTCAATCTTATATTTGAAAGTTTAAAAATAAAAGATGAATTCCAGAAGCATGTATCTTGAATTAAGCGACTTATTTCAGAGATATTGCTGCAAATTTGCTTGGGGCAAATCTTTTGTGAATTTTCTCACAGTTCTATGTTTTGCATTTTTCTTTTGATAAATGTTTTTTTTAAGAATAATGATTTATATATAGTTATTAAAAGCATACATACTATTTAAATAATTTTTCATTATTTATAACCATGTATTGCTAATTATTTATTATGGTGATCAAAGTAAATCTTAGGTAAACATTCTATAAGTATTTTCTTTACTCTTATTGTCATATGCACACATTCAAAATGGTGGAATCTAATTTATTTGTACTTACCAAAAGATATTATCCAAAATGCATGTAAACATCAATGCTCCTTAAAATCAAACAGTCATGTCACCAGAAGAATACATCTGCACTATTAATGTTAAAATATAGAACTGTTTGGAACTATTTCATTTGCATCCATTTTGTTCAGGATAGAAGACATTTTTGCTTGTTGTCTAAGTTCAAATTCTAAATGTGTTGGGGGTTGTTTAAGGAAGTTTAATTTCTATTTTCTTTGAAATGTGCCCAGGTGAATAAAGGACCTATATCTTGAATATTTTATATATATCATAATAAAAAAATATCCATTTATTGTTTATTTACCATCTTAATGTTTAAAGTTAAAGTAATTGCAGCAAATGTATAAAGCCATGTGCCCCCCTCACACTTGGCCTCACATTTTATGTTCATAATACTTCCTGTCCAGTGTCTACACAGATATAAATGGAAAACAGATGGCACATTTATACATTTCTTTCACTGGCTCACATGTCTAATTGATGATAAAGAATTATTGAATTCCTTGCATGAAATGAAACCCATGTATTTGAAGTCCTGAAATATCCCAGTAATTCCTGTTAATAATCTAAAGTCCTAAGAGTTCTTGAAAAATCAGGATAAACTTGTGTTGATCAAATCAAGGAATTGTATTATTAGTTACATAGTGTGCTAGTGACCTAATACGGTATATATGGGGTCAGTAAATTCCATATGGGGTGAGAGCGAAGCTCGAATCCCCATATGGAATTTACTGACCCCATATATACCGTATTACGTCACTAGCACACTATGTAACGAATTCATCTTACCGACTATCTTAACGTGTGAAATTTAGACTATAGTGACCTATCAAAATGAGCAAGTCTTCAATACCGTTATCTTTATTTAAAGAAACTACTCCCATTGATCCTACAAAAACAGATACCAACAATAACAATTTGTTAGGTTTAAATGTGTTTTATAAATTTATTTCAATCTTCATCATCAATTTCTTCGTCTGTTGAAACCTTTAAGATTTTTTTTCAGTACTGTTTTGTTTTTATAAAGGGACGTAACACCACTACTAACCGTGTATGAAATAAGCCCCGCCTCCCTACTAACCTAATATGGAATATACACGGTCTCCACACGGACGCTTTTAACCAATCATATTCCTAGAATGTATAGGAGGTAAGATAAATTTAAATATACAATTCCTTGATCAAATATTGTAAGTCCTGAAATATCCAAGAAATTCATGAAACAAATTTAAAGTCTTGGAAATTCCTGAAATATTAGGACAACAGATTTCAGGACTTCATGGGACTGCCTGGAACACTTGAATTATCAGGATTTACAAAATGACCAGTGCTGGGATTTTTAAGGATATCCCAGGACTTCCTGGGATATCCTGATAAAAAAGATTTTTTCAGGACAGCATTTTGCAGGGGCGTGACCCATTTATATCATATATCATTACGATAGACTATTTTCAATTACCGACTTTTGACTCCGGAGTTTATATTTTTATCGGCAGGTTACCTACTCTGTGGTATGACATCCTGGTACTTGGTCAAGTAAGAGCAACGTACAGAAGTAAAATCAAGCTTTCAATGTTTTCTTTACACTGCAAAATCATCGAAAAACAGTAAACTTTCCCCTCAAATTGCACCGATTAAATATTTGATTTTACTTCTTTTGTTTGCTCTTACTTGACCGTGTACCAGGATGTCATACCACAGAGTAGGTAACCTATCCTCACAGTCATGAGGATCTGAATTGCACTGCTTCCAATATTGTGTACGGTATTGAATGTACTCTTTGTGGATTGATCTACGTCGGGGAAACTCGACAAAGACTCAATTTTAGAATGAATGATCATCGGTCTAATGTAAATGATCCTAATAACAACAAATTTCTCTATAAACATTTCAATCAGCCTGACCATTCTATTGTTTCAATGAAAGTCCGGATTATAGAGAAAATATATCATTCAACAAATGACCCCATATTGAGTACACCATATCGTTTACAAAGAGAAGACTTTTGGATAAGAGAGTTGGGAACAGCCATTCCCTATGAATGCAATGACAAAATTGATGGTGTAGGTATTTTGTCTAGTCCCAGGTGTAGTACTGTCAATACATTACAATTATTTAATACTTCTGCTCGACGAAATAGAAGTCATGGTCACAGAAAATATATACCACCTGCTGTGCACACCGTGACAATTGATAGTCTGTTAACGTCTGTTCAAAAACCTTTAGGAATTCATCATATCAGAACTAAATTATACTCCATTCCATTGTCAAAACTTTTTTTACTATTTCAAGAGGCCCAAAATACTTCCGTTACTGATTCTCGTTCTGTTTTGTATAGATTAGTTGCAATAATCATGGACATTGCTAACCATAGACTATTGAAACCCGTATCGACTACATCCAAAAATGAGGAAAAACGTAATTTTTTTAAGGTAGAATTCGCCAATAAAGGTTTAGATGCTGTAAATATTAGCAATATTTTCCATCAGAAATCTGTACAAAAAACTATACCTGATTACTTCAAAAATAAAGCTACACCTGTTATTTCTTATACTTACACCAAGTCTATTGCATCCAAGATTTTCAACCACAAGAGAGTTTTGGAGGCCTTTAACCTCAAAGATGTGAAATCCAAGCCTCCGGAATTCTCATGTGCATCGTCACAATACAAGTATAGTCCAGATGGTCATGTTATTCCTGGTGACCTTGGCTTCGTTACCAATGAACAACTAAGAGAGTTGTTAGCCAAGGGACCAAAATATAGAATTCCCCAGCCCATCAACTGGAAAAAGAATTTCAAGTTACTGATGGATGCAGTTGAGGACTATGCAAGAAAATGGGTAAAGCGCGAACCAGACGAACCAGAACTGGACACTTTGTCTGAATGGATCAAAGCTATTCGATCATGCATTCAGAAGCGCATTCAAAAACTACGATGCAATATGAGCACAAGAGTTATGTACTAACCCTTTCAAAAATCCGGATGTTGTGGATGCTTTATCCTCTTTGCATGGCAAATATGTCGTTGTTCCAGCAGATAAAGCCTCCAATACTATTGTCTTCATATGTAAAAACCATTATTTGCAATGTCTCACAACAGAGCTTGGAATAAATAGAACTACTGGTAACCCTACATATTCTTTAACATCATTTACCAAGGACGAAATTTTACAAAATCACAAATCTGTCCTTATTTCTTAATAATACAATAATTCATATTTTGTGAAAAACCACACTGAATCTACCAGAAAATATACTGAAGATGATATTATCAAAATGCTGGACTTTTTGACCGACAATATATTTGTTGAGTTTGGAGGATTTATATTTCAACAGACAGTCGGTATTCCAATGGGAACTAATTGTGCACCCCTACTGGCCGAATTGTTTTTGTACTCGTATGAAGCAGAATTCATTCAGAACCTTTTAAAAGGCGAAAAAGCACCTTGCGAAATTCTTTAATTTTACTTTCCGATACATGTATATTGATGATGTTCTATCATTGAATAACCCATATTTCAGCCAATACTTACATCTCATATATCCCAGTGAACTTGAAATTAAGGATACTACTGATACTAGAAGGACTGCTTCATACCTTGATCTTTTCCTCAATATTGACACAGATGGACGACTTCACACGAAAATCTATGATAAACGGGACGATTTCAACTTCCCAATTATCAATTTCCCATTTCTCAGCAGTAACATACCCTCTGCCCCTTCGTATGGTGTTTACATATCTCAATTGATACGTTATTCTCGTGCTTGTTCACACTATACGGACTTCATATACAGGAGTGTGCTCCTTACGCAGAAACTGCTCCAACAAAGTTATGAGGAGGACAGATTAAAAATGAGACTCCGTAAATTTTACGGACACCATCACGAAATGGTTGATCCATACGATGTGTCTTTGTCCAAACTAACTAAGGACATTTTTACCACGTGTTAGATTGTGGTTTGTCATTACGCCGTCTGATCTTTTAATTACCGAACGTGACTTATTCCCGATTGTGACTGTTTTACTGAGTGTGAAACCGCATCCGATTGTGACTGTTTTACTGAGTGTGAAACCGCATTGCTATAAGACGTGTCACGGTACTTTTCTATCCCAAATTCATGTATTTAATTTTGATGTTATATTTGTTATTCTCGTCGGATTTTGTCAAATATCTTAACGTCTTTTCTGTTATTTTCGTGTGTTATGGTAAAGATAATTAATCACCCCCTTCATTTATTAGATTTTAGTTTGGTTCAAAGAAATTTATACGATATATTTGGTTTACAGTTTGATTCAGAAGAAACACCGACATAGCTAGATAATACAATTAACTCATTATCTAATTACTACCACAATTTGATATTAATAGTATTGTAATTTTCATTGTTATTAATAAATGTAATGTCAGTATTACAGATCTAATCTTGAATCAATCCTAAATCATCTTATTTTTATACGACCGCAAAAAAATTTTGCGGTCGTATATTGGTATGACGTTGGCGTTGGCGTCGTCGTCGTCGTCGTCCGATGACACATTGTTTTTCGCACTCTAACTTTAGTTTAAGTGAATGGATCTCTATGAAATTTTACCATAAGGTTCAATACCACAAAAGGAAGGTTGGGATTGATTTTGGGGGTTATGGTACCAACAGTTAAGGAATCAGGGGCCAAAAAGGGGCCAACAATAAGCATTTTTGTAACTTCCAGACATAACTTGTGTGTTAGTGTATGGATCTCTCTGACATTGTACCACAAGGTTCCATATCACAATGCTGGGATTGATTTTGGGGGTAATTGCCTCAAAATTTTAGGAATTGGGGGCAAAAAAACAAGCATTTTTCTAGTTTCATGACAATAACTTGTGTGTAAGTGTATGGATCTTTCTGAAATTGTACTTCAAGGTTCCATATCACAAAGGGAAAGCTGGAATTCAGTTTGTGGGTAATTGCCCAAAAAGTTTTGGAATAAGCGGCAAAAAAAGAGCCAAAAATAAGTATTTTTCTAGTTTCCAGACAATAACTTGTGTTGAAGTGTATGGATCTCTCTGAAATTGTACTGCAAGGTACCATACCACAAAGGGAAGGCTGGGATTGATTTTGGGGGTAATGGCCTCAAAATTGTAGGAATTAGGGGCCAAAAAGGGGCAAAAAACAAGCATTTTTCTAGTTTCAGGACAATAACTCTATTGTAAGTGTATGGATCTTTATGAAATTGTACTACAAGGTTCTATATCACAAAGGGAAAGCTGGAATTCAGTTTGTGGGTAATTGCCCGAAACGTTTAGGAATAAGGGGCCAAACAAGAGCCAAAAATAAGCATTTTTCTAGTTTACAGACAATAACTTGTGTTCAAGTGTATGGATCTCTCTGAAATTGTACTGCAAGGTATCATACCACAAAGGGAATGCTGGGATTGATTTTGGGGGTAATGGCCTCAAAATTTTAGGAATTAGGGGCCAAAAAGGGGCAAAAAACAAGCATTTTTCTAGTTTCAGGACAATAACTTTATTGTAAGTGTATGGATCTTTATGAAATTGTACTACAAGGTTCTATATCACAAAGGGAAAGCTGGGTTTGAGTTTTGGGGTTATTGTCCCAAACGTTTTGGAATTTGGGGCCAAAAAGGGGCAAAAAAACAAGCATTTTTCTAGTTTCCAGACAATAACTTGTGTTCAAGTGTATGGATCTCTCTGAAATTGTACTGCAAGGTACCATACCACAAAGAGAAGGCTGGGATTGAGTTTGGGTGTGATGAATCATAAGGGAGTTCAAAAAATTTGGCGGGGGGATTTTAAATTTTAAATTGGTTATTTCTGATTTATATATAAAAGCAAATAATAATGATATGGTTTGAATAGGTAAACTAAAAATTTTCAAGTTCTTAGACCACATTCATTCTGTGTCAGAAACCTATGCTGTGTCAAATATTTAATCACAATCCAAATTCAGTGCTGTATCAAGCTTGAATGTTGTGTCCATACTTGCCCAAACTGTTCAGGGTTCGACCTCTGCGGTCGTATCAAGCTGCGCCCAGCGGAGCATTTTATTTTTTAAATTTTATGTAATTCCAACCATAGGCAGGGACAGATCACTATCACTTTTAGTTATTCAACGTCTTAGTAGTACACCTTTACAACATATAATAAGGTAAACAATATTAATGTTTTATCTCAATTTTGCTTCTTTTTTCTTATTGTTAACCATGAAAAAGAGATGTTTGACAATGACTCATATGTAGGAAGAGCTTCCTTACTACAAATATAATCAGTCAATTTGTGTACAGAGGAAATAAGATAAATGTGTCAATGTTTTTATGTCTTCAACAGGATCATCTCACAATTCACCAAATCCATCTAGCCAGCAGTCACCAGTCTATACAAATTACCCACAGTATTCATTCAGTAATAACAATACTAGCCCAATGACAAGAGGAAACACATGGCATGGGAAAGAAAGATATGGACGACAGAACAGTGAGGGGTCATATAATTCAAGACAAACTCCAAGCAATATCGGAGGTTCAATTTTGTCACCAAGAAATTGTGACCAGTTACCTTTACAAGGCCATAGTCCAGATGGCAATATAGATCCCTTATCACTTCAGTTACGGAGAGAGAGAGTTCTACAGCAGCAGAAGGTCTCATTAGATGCTCATCGTCAGAGAAACTATCCTCCACAAAATCCTTATGGGAACTTTCAACCTTGGCAACAACAACAACAACAGCAACAACAAAGATCATACAGAAGATATTAATAATATCTGAGCAAGGACTTTTATTTTATTTTTGTTTTTATTCTTATTAAAGCCTTCGTGATCCTGATATCGTAAATGTACGTGATTTCAACTAAACTTCTAAACCAAATGTTTTCCAAGTTTAAGTTAGAGTACTGTTCATTTTTAGGTCAACCTATAGCTAATTATTATGATTTGAAATCATTTTTAGCTTTTCTTATCACTTGGTGTCCGTCATCCGTTGTCCGTCGTCGTAGTCTATCATCGTGTGTTTTTACAAAAATCTTCTCCTCTGAAACTACGGGGCAAAACTTAACCAAACTTGGCCACAATCATCATTGGGGTATCTAGTTTAAAAAAATGTGTCCGATGACCCTACCTGCCAACCAAGATGGCCAACATGGCTAAAAATAGAACATAGGGGTAAAATGCAAGTTTTGTCTATTATTTTGAAAACCGTTAAAAATAGTATGGTGACAGTTGTGAGACGATTTGAGAGGGCTTGATGTTGTAGATCAAAAATTGAAATATTGAAATACCGGTATTGGTGAAGAGTGGAGGTACCCAGTTGTACAAGTAACTGCTGATTTGGAACTAATTAGATTCAGGTTAAGAGTGGAGTTTCGCACTCATTCCAGTGTATATTGTCCTGTATATACTTTTAAGCTAAGGAAATTTTATAGGAGTGCCAGGGGGCAATTTGTTTATGTTGGCTATAATTTGAAACACTCACAATATCTAGTTGGTGAGATATATATGTAAAGATAGTTCTAATATGAAGATGATATAATGAGAGAGTATGGTGACAGATGTGAGACGATTTGAGAGGCTTGATGTTGTTGATAAAAAATTTAACTAATGGTGCAGAGTGGAGGTTCCCACTCCTACGAAGACGATATAACTAACATAATTTTTAGCAGATATTTGGGTACAGAGTGGCACACTAGACTTGTTTTGTATTTGCGATGATATTTCACTTAAATATGCTAGTGCGTGCTCTGTTGTGGAGAGTAAGCAAGTATGGAGTGATTCTGTTGAAAAACAGAAAAGGTGTAGCGTAGAGGATCCACCTCATACCAGTCTAACCTTGTGTTTGTTATAATTCTCTTTATGTTAGTGCGTGCTCTGTTATGTGGAGAAAATCAAGCAAGGAGTACACTTTGAAGTATAGGTCTTATCTTGGCAAGAATTGCTATCTATACTTCTAAATTAACGAGTTCCAATTTGTTAGCCGGCATGACGTAAAAACGACAAATCAAAGACAAATCAAAGAATTCAACTTTATATATAACTAATATAGGAAAATGGTGTTGTTTAAAAATTACACCATTCCAGGCCCCTTTGTTTTCCACATAATTAAAACTACCAATAAATAACGAGTTCAGGGTCGAATCCGATACCGATACCGATACCAATAGTATATGTCGCATGTAGAGTCCGGTTGTAGTTACCTTCTGTAAATCTTTCCTCTATCAGGAGAACCTGGGATTCTTCCGGTAGTTATTTTATATCTATGTTACACTATAGTACACTATTGAACAAGTCTGTTTTCTTCCACCTCAATACCACTTTTAATTTTGGTTAATTAGTTAAAAAAAACAATTTAGTTTATAGTAAAAGAGAGGCGAAGGATACTAAAGGGACATTCAAACTCACAAGTCTAAAATAAACTGACAATGCCATGGCTAAAAAAACAAAAAAAAAACAGAAAAAGACAGACAAACGACAGTACAAAATACAACATAGAAAACCAAAGACTGAGCAACACGAACCCCACCAAAAAATCGGGGTGATCTCAGGTGCCACGGAAGGGTAAACAGATTCTGCTCAACATGTGGCAACCGTCGTGTTGCTCATGTAAGTACAAACCAGGTGATATGTCTAATTCGGTAAGTCACATTCGGGGGAAGGGGAGGAGATTGTAGTTTCGACAATCGGAACATATCCGTCGTCATCTGTGAAACAGATATTCCATAACGGTCAACCAACTCGTGATGGACAGTTGGTGTCCGTAAAATTTACGAAGGGATGATTTCAACTTCACCACTTAGAACTCTTGGTTTAATAGCTTCCTTGGGAGCAGCAACACTCTATCAAGGAAATCATGATAGGAAACACAAGCCCTGGAATATCGTTTTAACTGGGAGATATATACTCCGTATACAGGCGCTTCTGGAATGTTGCTACATAAAAAGTTCACAATTGGGAAGCTGAAATCATCTCTTTTGTCGTAAAGTTTTGTTTTCAACCGACCCTCATTGTCAATTTCTAGATGTAAGTCAAGATATGAGGCAGACTTAACTGTATCTGTTGTATCCTTTATTCAAAGTCGATGGGATAGATGCGTTCAGAATAGTCACCAAATTTTGAATTATTTAGTGAAAGAACATCTATATGGCGGAAAGTGAAATAAAAGGATACTGCTAACTTCTTTTCTTTCTTCCTATTAAGAAGTTCCTGTATGAAGTCAGCCTCATATGAATAAAGGAACAAATCGGCAAGAAGAGGAGCACAGTTGGTTCCTTGGGAATGCCGATTGTTTGTTGAAAAACACGTCCTCCAAATGTAACAAATATGTTGTCAATCAAGAAATTACGAATCTTAAAAATGTCGTTTTCAGAGAATTTTTTAGTTTGAATCAGAGTGATTTTTTACAAAGTACGATTTATCCCTCCCTAAGACAAGAAACCTGTATCTACGTAAGCCATTCTTTTTGATGAAACAAAGCATGACCAACTCTTTCAATTTGTCTTTTAGTTTGGAATAGGGAATACTTGTGTAAAGTGTAGAAAAGTCAATTGTTTTAAAACTATTGCAAGATGAAAGAGTCTTAGATTGTATGTACTCTAAAAGATCTTTGGAATTTTTTAGTATCCACATCTGATTCAAACCACCTCTAGATTAGGTAGTTTCACAATAACTTTGAAGCCCGGTTTTGATTGCTGATAAAATAAATGTTAATAATTTAGAAAGAGGTTTCGTGGAGACCCAGCAATATACTATTGTTTGTAAGGACACTTCTGTAGTTTAGGTATCCAATACAGTGAAGGGAGATCCAGTTCTTCATCTTTGGTAAAAATTCCAAAGGAACATAGAACAGACCTATGATTATCCAGGATTTCCTCCTTGGTAAGTGTCGTGGGGGTATATGTGATGTTTCCAAGTGAATTGTCAATACCTATTGGCTAATTAGGGCCCCACCGAATGGCGGCCGCCGTATAGTGATCAGTCTGTCCGTCCATCCGTCCGTAACAAATCGTGTCCGCTCTATATCTAGAGAACCGTTATGATTTCAAAGTTTATACTTGACATGTATATTAACCAACACCAAAGGGTGTCATAATGTATGTTCAACTTCCTAGGTCAAAGGTCAAGGTCAAAAACTTTGGTTTTAATTGACAACCCCATGTCCTATGGTAAAGATCGTGTCCGCTCTATATCTTGAGAACCGTTATGATTTCAAAGTTTATACTTGATATGTATATTAACCAACACCAGAGGGTGTGTCATAATGTATGTACAACTTCCTAGGTCAAAGGTCAAGGTCAAAAACTTTGGTTTTAGTTGACAACCCCATGTCCTATGGTAAAGATCGTGTCCGCTCTATATCTTGAGAACTGTTATGATTTCAAAGTTTATACTTGATATGTATATAAACAAACACCAGAGGGTGTGTCATAATTTATGTACAACTTCCTAGGTCAAAGGTCAAGGTCAAAAACTTTGGTTTCATTTGACAACCCCATGTCCAATGATAAAGATACACATTTTTACCACACATTATTCACAGCGGGGCCCACAGAGATGGCTCCCATCTCAATGATATCTAGTTCATTTATCAAACAGGTTATGTAATGTGATTTACACCCAAAAACGATGTTGTTTGAGGCTTTATCTGTGGGGACAACATATTTGTCATGGAGGTAGGACAGGTGTTTTGCAACATTTGGGTCTTTAAAGATTGATGTAGCATTAGTGTTCATAAACCCATTCAGTTTTTATACGACCGCAGGTAGTATTATATTATGGTGTTGTCTGCGTCTGAAGACATTTTGGTTCGCAGAAAATAACGAGTATAGGTTCATGGATGGCTATGAAATTTTAGCATATTATAACCCCGTGAATTTCGGTATAACTCCGTGAATTTCGGCACGGGTTACATTAAAGTCTGTAGGTCTATAATCGACACTGTGGCTGCTTTAAACGCAAGACCATATACAATATATACAAATTTATTCACATGTGTACAGCTTGAGAGCTAGGGGAAGACTGCCCAAGCAACCGTTTACAAAACATAAATTAAGTCAAAGATAAGGGTATTAAAACATTATAAAAGGTTCTCATAAAATATAAATTATTGTCCAATCTTATGTAATAATAATCGGATTATTGTCCTCCGGCTAAACTTGGTAAAATAGCGATAATTGCTTCTTTTGTAGTTCGAGTGTTAGATACATGTATTATCTTTAGCACTTTTGACAGCCATCGGATTAAGTTGTAAAATAGTAAATCTATAATCTCTTTGGGTATTTGAAATAAAGAAACATTATATTTAAGAATAAAGAAACATTTTAAAACAAGAAATGTTCAATTTAAAACTAAAACGAGAGTTCATAGAAATATTGCATCTAAAACGAGAGTTCATATAAAGCACTTTTCGAATTATGGTAAAAGTTCATTTCCATTACGACAAACATATATTTAACAATAGAATTAATTAAACACAAAGAAATGTAAAAGGTTTGATAAACGGATTAATAAATTGTCACTATAGCACTTAAAATATATTGTCGGAATTAGCTTTATTTCTATTACACATTTGTCCAAATCTTCCTGGTTATATTCGCCACTACTCCACCTAAACTCGGTCTCCGAGTTTGCCGAATGAATTTTGTTATCGTCGTGGGTATCCTTTACCTCGCCGATGACGTTGCTGCGAATTGCCACGCGAGCAAATTGCAAGGGTCGAACGCACATCTCGGTTTGAATGTTTTATATCTAGATGTTGAATCTCGTGTCTACTGTTTACGTTCTCTTCCTTAAGTCTCTGAATTTCGTCTTCCATATCATTTAAGATGCGATTGTACT